AAAAAAAAAAAAAAGTTGCGGTTTTCCATCGCAATTATAAAATTTGGTATATTTTAAGACCTCCCGAAATATTTTTAAAAAATATTAAGATTTACGTAAGCTAGCTCGATTTGAAAATACCAAAAATCTAGCTTTTTTGATTTCGTTGATAAAATTTTTAAACATTTGTATGCAGACTTTGTAAGACTTCTATCATCTGAGGTGATTTTTTAGAAAAAATAGTTTTTAAAGCTCATTTTATTTATTAAAAAAACTAGATTTTTGGAAGTATATTTAAGTAAATCTTAATGTTTTTCCAAAGTATTTTGGCCGATTTCTTGAAATATAATCAATTTTATATTAGACGGAGAAGCCTTAACAATTTTTTTTTTGGAGAGTGATGCGCCCTACTGTACATACATACTTACGCTTTTGTATCACCAAAAATGTGTCCTGACGTGCTCACAATTCAATTTTCTCAGTTCTTCTCTCCCAAATTGTTTGCTTTAACCGTGGCTACCCTCAACTCGAGTTCCTACATTAGTATAGATTTCATATCCTTAGTTTTGTTCAGTACTTTTTGAAGCAATTATGGCTTAATGCCGTCCCAAATTTTACATATTTTTGTATGTAAATGTTGGTTTTTCAACGAGAACGTTTTTTCTTTTTAATTCAAGTTTATAATAGTAACACCGAAAATTAAAGTTATTTTTATCATTTTCAAATGTTGAGAAATCTATCGATTTCATTAAACACTTTTCTTCCTTCAACAACTTACAGCCGGTCGTGGTGGTCGAAAGTTGGACGATGTACGCGATAAATATCAGAAAGCCTGCCGCAAATTACATCTCACCCACAACGAATATGTACTCTCCATCACCGAAGCTGTTGAGGTGGAAAAAGATTTCCGTACAGTATTACTACCGGGACTGCTGGAGCATCAACAATCCGTGCAAGAAAGTTTTATTCTACTCTGGAAGAATATACTGCAGGAGACCAGTCAACATGGAGATCTCACATCCGACAAATTCAAAGAAATACAAAAGCGAATTGATAATGTGATAAACAGCATAAATCCCAGTGAGGAGTATCGGGAATTCACTGAGAAACACAAGTAAAACTTAACCATCATTATTATGTATTAATTAGCCTTAAATTAAATGTGAAACATTTGCAGAACCTCCCCCGCCACACCGCTTGTATTCCAATTCGATAACGCACTCATCGAGGACATACCTGGCAAACTGCAATCAAATACGCTAACAGTCGATAATCTTACCGTCGATTGGCTGCGATCGCGCCTGATTGACTTGGAACTCGCAGTGAAGGATTGCCAGGAGAAACAGCTAAAGATGATCGAGCAAGCGAATGGTGGTTCACCTATAGCGAATGGCAGCATAACGCGTAACGGTAGCACCGCTAGCAATGGCATACAATCCCCGAAGGATAGTCAAAAGTAGGCGAGCATGTTTTTTGCTTGTAACTATAATAGTAAATAATTAGTGATTTCATTTTTAAATCTTTTCTCCTAAAAATACTAAATAGTAGGCAATCAAAGGACCTCGGTTCACTGCGTTGTCAGGAAAAACAAAAACAAAAGTTGGTGGATATGATTAAGTGTGCTTTAAATGAGATTGGCTGCGAAGAGTTGCCATCTGGCTGTGATGATCATTTGGAACAAAATTTCATAGAAAATAGTTTTAATAACGATCAACAGGTGAGTAGATGTTATTTGTAAGCTTACTTAATATTGCAATATCACACACAAGTCAGGTGAAGGGGCTGAAGAGTTAGTACATACATACATACATAGTGTTCAGGTTAAGGATATCTACATAGTCTTAAGTACTTGGTGGTAGGAGTGATTTTGTGCCTTTCGACTGTTACGTGTATATGTACACTTAAAAAGCACATGGTGTTTTGGAAAGCATTAATAAATAGTCACAGTGAGAGATTTTGGGTAAAAGATGTATCGAAAAGTGAAGGGGCTTTTTTGGGTTGTCGGTAATAAAGGGTGATTTTTTTGAGGTTAGGATTTTCATGCATTAGTATTTGACAGATCACGTGGGATTTCAGACATGGTGTCAAAGAGAAAGATGCTCAGTATGCTTTGAAATTTCATCATGAATAGACTTACTAACGAGCAACGCTTGCAAATCATTGAATTTTATTACCAAAATCAGTGTTCGGTTCGAAATGTGTTTATTTATGGTCTACATAATCGACCAAGTGAGCAAACAATTAATGCGATTGTGACCAAGTTTCGCACTCAGTTTACTTTATTGGACATTAAACCAACCACACGAATGCGTACAGTGCGTACAGAAGAGAATATTGCGTCTGTTTCTGAGAGTGTTGCTGAAGACCGTGAAATGTCGATTCGTCGCCGTTCGCAGCAATTGGGTTTGTGTTATTCGACCACATGGAAGATTTTACGCAAAGATCTTGGTGTAAAACCGTATAAAATACAGCTCGTGCAAGAACTGAAGCCGAACGATCTGCCACAACGTCGAATTTTCAGTGAATGGGCCCTAGAAAAGTTGGCAGAAAATCCGCTTTTTTATCGACAAATTTTGTTCAGCGATGAGGCTCATTTCTGGTTGAATGGCTTCGTAAATAAGCAAAATTGCCGCATTTGGAGTGAAGAGCAACCAGAAGCCGTTCAAGAACTGCCCATGCATCCCGAAAAATGCACTGTTTGGTGTGGTTTGTACGCTGGTGGAATCATTGGACCGTATTTTTTCAAAGATGCTGTTGGACGCAACGTTACGGTGAATGGCGATCGCTATCGTTCGATGCTAACAAACTTTTTGTTGCCAAAAATGGAAGAACTGAACTTGGTTGACATGTGGTTTCAACAAGATGGCGCTACATGCCACACAGCTCGCGATTCTATGGCCATTTTGAGGGAAAACTTCGGAGAACAATTCATCTCAAGAAATGGACCGGTAAGTTGGCCACCAAGATCATGCGATTTGACGCCTTTAGACTATTTTTTGTGGGGCTACGTCAAGTCTAAAGTCTACAGAAATAAGCCAGCAACTATTCCAGCTTTGGAAGACAACATTTCCGAAGAAATTCGGGCTATTCCGGCCGAAATGCTCGAAAAAGTTGCCCAAAATTGGACTTTCCGAATGGACCACCTAAGACGCAGCCGCGGTCAACATTTAAATGAAATTATCTTCAAAAAGTAAATGTCATGGACCAATCTAACGTTTCAAATAAAGAACCGATGAGATTTTGCAAATTTTATGCGTTTTTTTTAAAAAAAAAGTTATCAAGCTCTTAAAAAATCACCCGTTATTTGCTGGGTTGAGTTAGTTCGAACGCTATTGTGAGGTTTTATTTAACGGCTTTACATGCTTCCTTGTACAAATTTATTACTTGTGATTTTCCGAAGTAAACATTCGGACATGAATATTTGGATTTGGTCTATAATCTTAGATCCGGTAAAGTTGAAAAGAGAGAACCACTAAATGGATTATATCATGTATTTTGATGAAGGGATTCACCACAATGTCATGAAAAATTTCGAAAAAATTTGAAAAATAGTATTTTCATTATCATCATAGAAGTTGAGAAGTGGGACAAAAGAGACTTGAAATATTTTTAGTTTCGTAACGCCTTCACAAACAACTAGTTATGTAACTAAGTCTTGTCATAACGCTAAACTGAAAACAAATCCATGATCCGAAAATTGTATTTTTACGGAATGTACTTCCAAACTAAACAGCAGACTGTGTGTGTGAACACCAAAAAGCGGTAGCTTAATTAAAAAGGCTAATTGTAATTTCTGTCTGAACTTAATATTAAGCAATAGAAGAAATATTTGAAACCAGACTTATGACATACTGGAGCTTGCAGGAGTTGCGCGTTGACCAGGTCCGTAGAAAAGGCCAATCGCATAGAGAATATGGATCTCAACCGTAAGCAAGCAACGGTGTGGCACGAAGTGGAGGCTATACGGTTATCGCATTTGAGGATATTCTTACACTAACAGTAAGAGAAACAAGTTTTTCTTAACAGCGGTTGTCCCTCGGCAGGCAATGGCGAACCGTCGAGTGTATTTTTGCCATGAAAAACAGCTTCTCATAAAAATACAATCGCCGTTCGGAGTCGGCGTAAAGCTGTAGGTCCCTCCGCTTTGTGTGACAACATCAAGGCGCACGCCACAAATCGGAGGAGAAGCTCGGCCAAACACTAGCATATGTGTAAGCGCCAATCTATTATTATTATTAACAGTAAGAGCTGATTTTCCACTGGCGCTAGAGCACATTTAACTATTTTTAATTCTTTAAGCTAAGTTAAAGTTAGAAGTACGAAATCTGAGGATATGTTGGTCTTTAGTATGTATTTTTTCAAAAACAAATATTGCAAATTCTCAAGGATATTCAAGAATAATAGATTTAAGGGACACTCTAAATACTTATGCGTCCTTTTGCACCAAACGAATTAATTTCAACCCCAAATATTTGAAGGGATATGCAATATGAAAATTTCAGCTGGTATGGAAAGTGCCACACCCCTTTTCCAAAAACACCCATTTTTCCCCATGAATATGAATTTGATTTCACATGCATATCTAGTAGTCTCAGAACTCACACCTCAGGCCTAAATTAGTAGCTTTTTCGAGACAACCATTAGTTGATTACTTCATGAACTCGTATGAGGTGTACTTTTTTGCAACCGAGCTACAAAAGAACGCTCGCTTAAATGATGAAATACGCGACTAATTTTTTAAAAACGTATATATTTTACGCAAATACCTCATATAGTTATCCATTTAAATTGGTTTTGGTATATATATACCGTTAAACTAATCAAATGTTTCTTGCCAGCTACCAACAGGGTTGCTTATGTAGCTAAAAAGAAATTTTACCCGTGCTGAGCGTTCTTTTGTCGCTCGCTTACAAAAAAATGCAGCTATAGTAGGAAACTTTGGCAGGGAATACTTACTTTTCGATACATCTTATAAAACACATGAGCACATTTTTAGAGACAACATTTGAATACTTAGAACAAAAATAAATAGAAAATCGAAGTTCTGAATACACTACATCTTTACTCTGGAAGTTGTACGCTTATGTTTATTTTTTTACTTAATCAACTTTCTTTCTTCCCTTTTACACTCTTATTCACTTAACAATTTTTTTTTTTGAACTACCAAAAACATCATTACCATACAATCGAAAATTTTGCAAAACAAATCCAACCAAAACAAATGCGAAACCCATAAATCATATAACAATCTCTGAATAGCAGAACTCTGCGGCATCCACCAATTCCACTGGCGTAAGTATTATGAATGAACTGCGACGTCGAGGTGGCGTACTCACACTTTTGCGCGGTAGACCTTTCAAACGCAAATCCACACCGCAACCGACCACACCCACCGCAAATCGTACGCGCACGCAACGTTTCAACAAGCTGCAGCCGCGCTCACAAAGTCTCGGATCGTTGTCGGTAAATACTAGTCCCGCGAAATACGAGCCCATTACTAACCCTTTGCGCATGGCCACCAGCCTCGAAGCTAACACCAGCTATGGTCTGCATGACATAGATCCCGATTCAATAATTATATTTGATCGGCGCGCCGCTACTGCTAAAATGTTTCCCAAGTTGCGTCGCACGCAGCTTTCAATGTTGTGTTTGAATGAAGAGGAAGCGCCTACCGCTTTTGTTATATCCATTGATACTAACCCGAACGACGAAATGCACGACGAGTTGAGCGCTCATAAAACCAACAACAATAATATATATGCAGATTTATTAGGGGGGTTGCGAGTCGTTAGGGGGTGACTGCGACAGTGTTAGGAGCGGCGAATTGGCGTTGCGACGTCAAGAAAATGTGAAGATCGAAATAAATCGGGAGGATAGCACAAGGCTTACGATAGATCGGGCGCTTCAGTTGCGGCAAGATGTTGCGGAAAAAAGCGGATTGGAAGCTGTTTTGGAAAATAACAACAGTCCTAAGACAGCGCCGACTGCAGCTACTGCGCACACGCTTGAAACGGTGAAGAACTCAATCGATGCGCATTTGGACAAGATCGATGAATTGAATCGCACATTGGATGATCGCATGAAGCGCCACTTGCCACAAAATACTGTGACGCGGCCGCCGCTAAATGTCGACGCTATTGAGGCTGCCGAACCAACAGCAGTTACAGTACGCACGAAAACTGCCGAGGAACAAGAGGCGGCACACTGCTCCTCGAAACGCACTTCCAGTTCGAGCTCAGATTGTCGTCCTTGTGGAGGGCGCAAGGAAAAGGATAGTGACGGTAATGGCAATAACAAGAAACGCTCTGTTTCGTTCTCGCAAAAATCCATAAACACCCTCATGACGAACCTGAAAGAGTTCACTAAAAAGAATGCACAACCAAAAGTGCCGAAGCCAACTATAACTTTGGTCGAGTACAAAGAGAACAGCGATCAGTTTGAGCTGATCGATCCGGAGCTCGGCAAAGCGACGCAGAGCAATGGTCGTGGAAATGATCCATCCATAACGGTCGATGCGATTACACAAGGCACACAGGGCACAGTTAGTTCAGACTCGAAGCCAAAGAGTAACGGCAATGCAAACAAAGAAAAAGGTCCAAGTAACAATAATAACAATCCCAACGACTCAACAGACAATACAAGTACGAGTACAACAATGCCAGCGCCAGTAGCGCACGTCGATGCAACGAATCCGTCCAAAAACGAACCGCTTGGCATGTCCGCCAAGCTGCGACTCAAAGTGCCAAAGATACAGAAAAAGTCCAAAGCCCTGCGTCAAACATTCCGCGCCAAGCTACTAAATTTCCAAATCAAACGCGATAAAGTATGTAAGCAGTGCACCAAGCGTCGGCGCGTGCATCCATCAAAGAACGTATTCGATTTCAGCAAAGACTTTAGTTTTAAAAAAGAAGAAACAAACACGGAGAGCTGTGATGCGGTCAGTGAAGAATTCTGCACTTGTCCGCCTGAGAAAATTTCGAATAAGAACGCGTTCATCGAACCAATGCATTTCGATTCGATGAGCTCAGCCGATGCTGAAGATGAAGGCAGCGGTGGTGAAGATCAGCTCAGCCTAAAGGAGCATTGTTACAGCGTGCCCAGCTTGGCGATGAGTGTGAGTAGTAGTGTAGTAAATGCGGCAGTAGTTCGTTCACTGGTCGCCAGTACAGTTGAACCAAAGTGCAAGCGCATACAAAAAAAAATAAATAGACGAAAATAAAACCACAGAATGCGTAAATGCATATTTATGTATAAAATAAATAAAAATTGCAACCATTACAGCATTTATACTTGCAAGTATTGCACATACATAGAAGTAGCTGTACGTATGTAGGTAGCTGTGTATTGGCAAGAGCGTAGCTTAGAAATTTTGATTAATATTCTTTGGCAAATCTTGATTTGGACTACATATGTATATACATACGTACGTATTTTGCACCAACATCACCTACGCACTAAAGTCGCACCAACGACCGCATTTTCGAAATGTACAGCAATTAGCGTATTCGCTTGACTGGGCCTCTTATTTATTTTGTTTAATAGTTCTCCTTTTCTTATTGTCGTACCTATTTATGTATGTATAGTTGAGTTTTTGTTTATATATGTTTGTATTTGAATACTTATTATTACTAAAAAAAAGTTAAAATTTACCGAATTGGCGGGTGCAAACTTGCTGCATGGTAAACTCTTGTAAATAATTTCACCTATTAAATATAAGAAACGGGAATATGTATTTGTTTTATCCTGAGTTTGCATCTTTTTATTGCTACACTTGGAAAAAATATATGTATATTGTTTATTATCTATATACAGTGGGTGTCAAAAATAAGTATACCCTGACGTTGTGACGTTTTTATTTACATACTTGTAATTTTCATACCAAATTTTTCTAATTTTCTTGTAAAAAATATAGTTCAATCAACAGCGAAATTCACTACAAAACTGCGTACTCAAAATTATTGGAATTGAAAAATTGCCTTTTTCTGAGTTCTATATAAAATACAAAAAAGCTTATTCTTATGGGTTTTGTTGTTGAAAATATGGTATGGAAAATATAAATAAATAAAATCGTCAAAACGTCTACGGTATACTTATTTTTGACGTGCACTGTATGTACTCGTTTGTACGTGTTAGACTGTGTCAAATAAAAT